GTTTGAGCATCTTTTATATTTTTATTGGCCATTTGCTCTCCTTTTCTAAGTACCTAACCAGTATTTTTTGGCCATAACTCAAGTTTTGTTCTACCTCATGAAGTCATATAAAATGTTTTTTGTTAAAGTACTCATTATAGTGTTAAATCAACCATTCTCATTACCTAATTTTTATTAGAGAAATAATTTTTTTTAAGATACGGAGTCTCACTATGTTGCCCAAGCCAGATTCAAACTCCTGAGCTCAAACGATCTTCCTACCTCAGCCTTCCAAATATCTGGAATGGCAGGCACATGCCACCATGCCTGGTTGAGCAGTAATTTAACATGTGGGGGAAATGTTTGCGATTTAAAATATTGTTTTTTAACAATATTTTGTTTGCTTTTAAACAATATTTTGGGTTTTTTTAAACAATATTTAAATGTTTGCTTTTCTTAGATTTCTTTAGGAGCCCTTAAGTAGTGCTTTTGCCAGGGGAAACTTGTGTTCTGTTTGGTTCAAATAACGTTCAGCGTAGCCTATATACCCATTCTAATCAGATGGAGTGTATCTTGCTTGATGTAAGTGGTTTTTATTTATTTAACACATTAGCTGTCATGTGAGTTGTATTTAACTCATGCTAGTTTTGAGCCTGGGGCCTCGTGAAGCAAAACCTGTGCAAAACCCTGCAGTTGGTTCATGAAAATCTTATTTGTTGATGTTCTTATTGTTATAATTAATATTGACAAATTAATTCTAAAAATATGGATTAAATGAATAAAAGTCAATAAATTTTGTTTTCCATTAAATTTTTCATTAAATTAGAAAGGATCATTTTGTTTTTGAAGTTTTTATTCTATTTTTGTAATAAAACACCATGGCCCCAAGGCAATACATTTTTTTTCTAGTGTGGCAGTAAGTGTGTTGAATCTCACCTCTTTGGGCTACAGTTTCCATCTGTAAACTGGAAGTGGTACTTTAGGCTCCAGGATTCTGGGATTCTAATTGACTTTAATCTTTACCCCTCTCTTCAGTTGGCTTGGAATTAATTTGAATCATGGATAATTTTCTTTAACAATTAATTGTGGTCCTCTAAATTCTGTCCAGCCTGTTCCTTTCATTCCTATTATTTATTTTTTTCTTTTGAACTTAATATGATAACATGTATTAATTGGCATTCATACCCTAAAGATAAACATGCTGAGTAGCCAAAAATTAGGGGTTTACTTATAACCTTATGTCCCTCTGCTTCGCAGAAAGTCACATCCTATGGCTCCTGGATATCTCTAGTGTATCCAGAAATCCCTGAGCATGTTCCTGGGTTCTGGTTTTTGTTTGGGTCTGAGTTTTTTCTCATTCTCTGGTGTCCCCCCATTTGAACAATTTCAGCGTCACTGATTTTAAAATAATGTCTTAGTTCACTGTTTGATAGTCAAAATTATGTATTTCATGAATAAGTGTCCTATCTACATGTATTCAGGCAAAAGTACACTGCTCAGAAATTTACCTGTTCGTATCATTGTTACTGAATCTCTAGACTTCCACAGGTGCCTAGTAAAATAGAAACAGTTTTCAAAACGGAGAGTTACTCTCACAAAAGAAAACCTTTCACATAAAAAAAAGCAAACCTTTTACTGGTTTGCTCTTTGTGCCGATACACGCTGTTTAGGGAGGAGGAAGAGCTTATTCTTCCCTTCTTATGATTAAAGAACAAAGAGAAAAGTGACTTGCTCATGTGACACAGCCATTTCTTGGTAGGACAAAGGAATAACCCACTGCAATCCTAGCACTCTGGGAGGCCGAGGTGGGCAGATTGCTCAAGGTTGGGAGTTCAAAACTAGCCTGAGCGAGGCCCCGTCTCTACTAAAAAATAGAAATGAACTGGCCAACTAAAAATATATATCCAAAAATAAAAAAATGAGCCGGGCATGGTGGCGCATGCCTGTAGTCCCTGCTACTTGGGAGGCTGAGGCAGGAGGATTGCTTGAGCCCAGGAGTTTGAGGTTGCTGTGAGCTAGGCTGACACCACTGCACTCACTCTAGCCTGGGCAACAAAGTGAGACTGTGTCTCAAAAAAAAAAAAAAAAAAAGGAATAACCCAGGTTACGTGTCTTCTATTCCTGCATTTATCCACTCTGGTCACAGAAGGACTATCATTTTGATTCAGGATCTGACTATTCAGTTTTTATTTCATCCAGATCTTTGTTTCTCCTTTCTTCCTCTTTTCTCTATCTAAATTGTGGCCACTTCACTGTTTGTTGATATCCTATTAGAAAGGAGATGTTAGGGGGCTGGAAATACAAACCTCACCACTTCTTTCTTGGTGAGCCTTTCCAGTTGTGATTTGCATAGGAATAAATTTGAAACAACGGTGAAATGCAGGTTGAAGATCAATTGTATTAGGTTATTAACTGGGAAATGTCAGATTTCTTTAAGTGCTAAGTTTGACAGTTGATATCTCTGACATTTCACTTTGACACTCTTGTTTTATTTTTATTGTGAAGGTACATCCTCAGTCTTTCACACGCACATTGTGGCTTGTGATTATCTTTCAAATTTTTAAGAGCAATTTTTGTGAAACCATGGGTAAGTCAAAAATGTATGTTATTTTCAAATATGAGTTCCCTCATGGAACCAATGCAGTGTAGACAGCTCAAAACATCAACAAAGTTTTTGGGAAGGACGTGGCTAATTAATGTACAGTACTTTGATAGTTTGAGAAGTTCCGTTCTGGTGAGTTTAATCTTGAAAATGAGCCAAGTTGGCAACCTGAGACCAATGTGGATGTTGATGAGGTGAAAGCTGTAGTAGAAGCAAATCCATCTTGACCTACATGTGAGTTAGCAGCAAGGTTTGATGTAACTATCCCAATAATACTGGGCCATTTGAAACCAGCGTGGTAAAGAAGCTGGATAGATGGGTTCTGCATGAATTAAGAGAAATTGTCTCGAAGCTTGCCTTTCTTTGCTGTCATGATATAAAGGCAAACCATTTCTATACTGTATTGTTACATGTGATGAAAAATGGATATTCTTGACAATCGCAAGCATTCAGCACAATGGGTAGATAAAGATGAAGTGCCAAAACAGAGTCTAAAACCGAATATTCATCAAAAAAAGCTAATGGTGTCTAGTGAGTGGTCCAGCGCTGGTATTATCCACTACAGCTTCATGAAACCTGATCAGTCCATTACAGAGGATGCTACTGCAACCAGCTGGACATGATGCTTGTGATTCAGCAGCCAAGATTAGTTAACAGACACAGGCCAATCCTCTTGCAAGACAGTGCTCCACCACATGCCACACAAACAGCGCTGCTCAAACCACAGAAGCTGGGCTTGGAAACTCTCTGTTATCTACCGTATTCACTGTCTAGACCTTGCACCAACTGACTCCCACTTCTTCCAGGCTTTGCACCACTTCTTACAAAGAAAAATATTCAGTTCTCAACAAGCTGTGGAAAATACCTTTTGCAGTTTCATTGCCACTTTCTCTCCAGGCTTCTTTGCTGCTGGCGTAAACAAATTGCCATTCAAATGACAAAACTGTGCCCATAGTTTAGGCACATACTTTGATTAATTGTACTGCTTCCTGTTTGAGATATAATAAACTACCCTTTGATTCGAAATTGGACATTTCATATCTAATGACCTAAAATAGATATCATTAAAGGCTGTTTCTCCTTCTTCTTACAGTCAAGTACAAATTAGAATAATTTAAAAGATTTCAAAAGATTTTTGTCATTATATTTTTGTTCAGTTTTCTACCCAGTTCTTTAGGTAGACCGCTTGACTCTTTCAGACTCAGTCTAATGAGATCTAAATGAAGCAATTTCTTGAGAGAATTTGTGCTCAAAAGATATATCCTCACTGAAGCCTTAGCCCAGTTATTCGATGATCTCCTTCTATATAATTTAGAACTTAATTATGCACTGTCACATTTGTTAGCTAATTATTTGATATACTTAACTCTTATCCTCTCAACTAGGTTATGAATTGCTCAAAAGCAAGATTATACCTCATTTTCCCTGCATCTCACAGCTCCTAGCATAGAGTTGTGTACAGAGATGATGTCCAATAAAAGGCGGATGGGAGTCTGGCTGGGAACACCCCCACAGTGTCACTCTCTGTTCTTCCTGTTGGTGGCAGCAAGGCTCTTCTCTGCAAGGGCTTGTGTGCCCATCAAGTGCAAGAAAAAATGGCTCAGGGTGCACGTAATGAAGGTACGAGCCAGGGGCTCCCTGCCTAGTTAGTAATAGAGTTGCCATCGCCTCGCTGCTCTTACTGAAAAGAATCTGCTCCCAAAGAAAGGAGAGTGTGGGCAGGCTGCGACGGTGAGCGGAGAAAGGTGATTGTGGTTCCAAGGCAGCATCCGCTGCATCTTGCCCTACGCCGGCCTGTGCTGCTGTACATTCTCTCAGTTACTGCATGTCACAGTGCGATTAAGTAGGAACTGGTATCTTTATGAAAAACCTAAGACAGAGTTGCTGAAGATTACCAACAAGAGATGGAAGGGGTAAAATCAGATCAAGGGACCATGATTTGGTGTTTTCTTGTTTTTTTATGATGGGCTTGTTTAAGATTTCCAAGTAGTTTTTTTTTTTTTTTTTTTTTGAGACAGAGTCTCGCTTTGTTGCCCAGGCTACAGTGAGTGCCGTGGCATCAGCCTAGCTCACAGCAACCTCAAACTCCTGGGCTCAAGCAATCCTACTGCCTCAGCCTCCCGAGTAGCTGGGACTACAGGCATGCGCCACCATGCCCAGCTAATTTTTTCTATATATATATATTAGTTGGCCAATTAATTTTATAGTAGAGACGGGGTCTTGCTCTTGCTCAGGCTGGTTTCAAACTCCTGACCTCGAGCAATCCGTCCACCTAGGCCTCCCAGAGTGTTAGGATTACTACAGGCGTGAGCCACCACGCCCGGCCCCAAGTAGAGTTTTAAAAGATGATGGGGTCTCACTCTTACTCAGGCTGGTCTTAAACTCCTGCACTACAAGTGATCCTCCCAACTCAGCCTCCCAGAGTACTAGGATTACAGGCCTGAGCCACCATGCCCAGCCTCCCTCAGATTTTCTGCATAGATGATCATGTCGTCTGAAAATAAAGACAAATATGGACAATCCCTCTCGCTCCTCCTGTCCGACTTGGGCCCGGCAGAATGGGTCCCGCAGAGAAGGGTGGCGAGAAGAAGGAGGGCCGTTCTGCCATCAACGAAGTGGTGACCCGAGAATACACCATCAACATTCGCAAGCGCATCCATGGAGTGGGCTTCAAGAAGCGTGCCCCTTGGGCACGCGAAGAGATCCGGAAATTTGCTATGAAGGAGATGGGAACTCCAGATGTGTGCATCGATACCAGGCTCAACAAAGCTGTCTGGGCCAAAGGAATAAGGAATGTCCCATACCAGATCTGCGTGCGGTTTTCCAGAAAACGTAATGAGGATGAAGATTCACTTTGGTTACCTATGTACCTGTTACCACTTTCAAAAATCTACAGACAGTCAATGTGGATGAGATCTAACCACCGATTGTCAAATATATCAAATAAAGTTAAAAACAACAACAACAACAAAAAAGAAAATCTGAATACCATTTATTTTTCTTGCACCAATTAGACCTTTCATCACAATATTGAATGATAGAGGTGAGAGTGGACATCCTTGCTTCCCCATCTTGGAGGGAATGCATTCAGTCTTTCACCATTAAGGATGGTGGAAGCTGTAGGTTTTTCATAAGTGCCCTTTATCAGGTTGAGCAAGTTCTTTCTATCCTAGTTTGCTAAGAGTTTTTATCAGGAGTGGATTGAGATTTTTCAAACAATTTTTCTGTACCCATTGCAATGATCATATTTTTTTCTTTTTTAGTATGTTAACGTAGTAAATTAATTCATTTTTCTAATGTTACACCAACCTTGCATTCCAGGGATAAAACCCACTTGGGGCCAGGCAAGGGGGCTCACACCAGTAATCCCAACACTCACAGAGGCCAAGATGGGAGGATCGCTTGGAGTTCAGGAGTTCAAGAGTTCAAGACCAGCCTGAGCAAGAGCGAGACCCTGTCTCTACCGAAAATAGAAAAATTAGCCAAGCATGGTAGCGCATGTTGGCAGTCCCAGCTACTTGAGAGGCTGAGGCAGGAGGATCGCTTGAGTCCAGGAGTTTGAGGTTATAGTGAGCTGTGATGACACCACTGCACTCCAGCTGGGCAACAGAGCAAGACTCTTTCTGTCTCTAAAAAAAACCAAAAAAAAAAAACTCTACTTGGTCAAAGTATATTATTCTTTTGACATATATTTTTTAAATATTATTTATAATCCTTTGGACATACTGAGTTACATGAAATACATTATTAAAATTAATTTTACCTTTCTTTTTTAAAATATGGCTACTAGGAAACATTTAAATTACACATATAGCTTGTGCTATATTTCTTTTGAACAGGAACTTTACTCCTTAGGATATCGGAATAAATCCAGGATTGAACAGATTTATCTGTATTTGCTGCCTCCTGTTCCTTCCCTCCATGCTCTCTCGGTTCCATCTAGGCTTTCGTTCTCGCTGCTCCAGGGAAGCCGTTCTTGTGCGGGGCCACAGTGACTCCGTGCTGCTCACTACACTGATCGGTTCTCAGTCTGCACCGGGAGCTGGCAACGCCTTTGACACGGCCGGCTGTTTCCTTGGCTTCCAGGATATCACACCCAGTGTGCTCCCCTGCTCCTCCCCCTTTGCTGGTTCTCTCTTGTCCCCTTTGTGTCTTTAAAGCCTGTGTGTACCTACGCTCAGTTCTTGCTGCCCCTCTCTGGGTGCGCACCCTCTGGGTGATCTCGTCCAGCCTCGCGGCTTTCACTTCCCCTTTCCGCCACACTTTGCGTTGACGTCTCAGCCCAGAGGCAGACTCATGTGTCTAACTCATCATCTCTGCGCAGAAGTCTAACGGGCATCTCAAATTTAAATTGTCTGTTACTAAACTCTTGATCTTGAACTCCCCACAGCTGCTCCGCCTAGAGTTTTCAGCATCTCAGTTAATGATAACCCCCTCTTTCCAGAATCGAGCCATTTCTGCCACCTTCACTGTCACTGCCCTCCCAGCACCCAGTCCAGTGCTCGAATCGCTGCAGTCCCCTGCTAACCTCCACTTCTCCCCGTCCCACTCTGCGTCCCTTCATCCTATTCCAGTAGCACAGCCAGAGAATGGACAGATCAATCCTGGTAAAAAGTGAAGCCCATCAGGTATCTCCCAGTTACGGCAGTGCCTCCCTGTTTTTGTCAAAGCAAAAGCCAGACCCTTCCTCTGGTTTACAAAGGCCGGCGTGGGCGTCCGCCCGGCTCCCCTGGCCTTGCTGTCCCGATGTTCCGGGTGTGCTGCCACTCCAAGTCTTTGCGCTTCCTTCCCTCTGTCTGGAACTTCTCAAGGAGGCCTGCCCTGGCCGTCCCCCCTAAGGTTACCACCCTCCCCCCTCCCGCACCTCACACCGCGGCACCTGGCCCTGTCGGCACACGGTCGAACCTGCTGCGCACTGTACTCAGTTGTTATGTCTGTCCCTTACTGACGGTGTCCTTTCGCTAGCGTGTGAACTCCAGAACAAGAGTTGTCGTCTTCTGTGTTTGCTGTGCATCACAGGTGACCAGCGCAGCACCTGGCTTGTCATAGGGCTGACAAACAAGTGACAGAGTAACGCGGCTCTGCAGCCTTCATTCTGGTTTGTGCTTTTTACTGATGTGTAGTTTGCATACTGGGCAGTGCGTGGGTTTTGGATATAAAGTTTTGTGGACTTTGCATGTGTGTGCATCCATGTGGCCACCGTGGGTGTCACCGGTTACCCCAAAGGGTTCCCCTCAGTCCCTTCCCAATCAGTGTCTCCCCCTGCCCCGGTTCCCGTGCTGGCTCCTGTCACCGTGGGTGGGTCTTGTCTGTTCTTGGACTTCTCGTGAGTGGTACAGGGAGAAGTCTTTTGTGTCTGGCTGTCGGGCTCACCACAGTGTCTCTGGAATTCGTCCGTGTACTCACGTGCATCAGCAGTGCGATCTCTCTTGTGTACCACATCTTGTCCACTCTCCTGTCGGTAGACATTTAGTTGTTCGCAGTAAAGGACCATGATGAGCAGAGCAGCTTTGAACATACCTGTGCCTGTCTTTGTGTGGTCTGGGCCTTCATTTCTCTGGGCTTCTCTTGGGAGCTGGGTGTAAGAGCAGATGCACGTACAGCATCTTCTACTAAACTGTCAAATAGTTTTCTTGAGGAATTATGCCATTTCCCATCTCACCAGGCACACGCGGGAGTTCTGGTCACTACACATGTTCACCAGCACTCGCAGTGATCAGCCGTTATGATTTCGGTGTAAAGTTATATTCTCTGTAGGAAAGCTGATTAACACATTAGCTGCCATGTGAGTTATATTTAATTCACATTAGTTTTAAGCCCAGGGCCTCATGAAGCAAAACCTGGGCAAAACCCTATAGAAGTCAATAAATTTTGTTTTTCATTAAATTAGAATCATTTTGTTTTCAAGTTTTTATTCTATTTTCATAATAAAACACCATGGCCCCAAGACAAATTTATTTTTTCTAGTGTGACAGTCAGTGTGTTAAAGCAGGAGTGTCATCAGAGAAGGACCCTTCCCTTCAGGCCTGAGATCTTCCGTTTTCACCGCTTGGGAAGTGCCCAGCCGTGAAGCACAGGGTAGCAGAAACCCAGGGTGGGCCCCCAACTCTAACTCAGCTTTTTAATCATTGGGCCACCTCCAGTCACAACGTCTCGTCAGACTTGGCCCATGTCAGCCTCAGGACTGTGTCTGGGAGTCTTGCCATCCGTTGTGCGTGAACGTGGGTTCAGGGAGAAATTTATCTGACTTCCTTAGAGAGCCCGGCCCTGGGTGAGAAGTGCACCCGCATCTGACTGCCGCCGCCGCAAGTGGCGGCAAACTAAAGACTAAAAGCAACATACAGTTATCATCTTGCAGTTCTGCAGGTCACAAGTCCAAAATGGGTTCCTGGCCGCCCTGCCTCCCCCTTACACTCTTGTGATTACATGGGGCCACCCACGCAATGCAGGACACTCGCCCCCTCTGGGACCCTGAACTCAATCCCGTCTGCAAAGACCCTTTTGCCATGGGACTTTTGCCAAAGTTAACACACATTTACAGGTTCTAGGGATTAGGACGTGGGCATCTTTTGGGGAGGGGTATTTGTTCTGCTACAAGAGGCTACAGTTGGAATCCAGTTCTGTCACTTACCAGCTTTAGGTGGGTCGGTGCTCTGCTTGCAACCCGCCTTCGGCTGTACGGGTAGAACCGAGGCCGCCAACACACATGCGGAGCCCCGTTTTTGAGTCTAGATGGAGTATTAATAACGTATGTGGAAAGACCTGATGGGCTTTCATATGCTTTAGTAGACTTAGGTTATGACTTAGAGAAGGGAAAGGGAAAGAGAAATTTGTGTTCGCAGATCTTAGAAAGTGCTGAGGCCAAGGTGAATTCAAAGCCAGAATTCAGTTATCTGGATTTGCCCTCCTTTTTTTAATGAATTACATTAATTTCTTCATGTATTTTTGTTCATCTGGTCTTAGCTAGAGGCCATTTTAGGAAATCGTTAAGCTTCACCTAACAACTATTTGCTGAGCGACTCCACTGTGCCCAGTGCCTGGGCACTGGGGAGATGGGCGGGCGTGGCCCGTCCTCGGGAAGTTACACTGCAGAGGGCTTGCAGGAAACTGGGGGCATCACAGGCTTGGCGAGGGCTGGGGGAAGCCCTCCTGGCAAAAGCACGTAATCCAGGACTGGGAGGCGAGGAGGCCTTAGCTACGAGCCAGGGACGCGACCCTGGGAGCCTTGCAGCCTGAAACAGTAGCCTGAAGAGGGACGGGGGACGGCATGGCTCCTCGAGGCCCTAGAATAAAGTCATCGTGGCTGGAGCTCCGATGAGGGGAAGGACTGGCCGGAAGCAAGTCCTCAAGGGCTGCGACGCCAGGAGGGAAGAGGCATAAATTCCACGCAGATTCTCAGGGCTTGTCCTGACTCCAGTCAGCGACATCCCTCGTGTGTCTCTGGTTCTCCAGAACTTTGTGTTTCTGGTTCTCCAGAACTTTCCAAGGAACAGAACCTTTTAAAGACTTTGACCAGTCGGGCGCAGTGCCACACACCTGTAATCCCAGCACTCTGGAAGGCCGAGGCAGGAGGATCACTTGAGCTCATGAGTTAGAGACCAGCCTGAGCAAGAGTGAGACCCTGTCTCTACTAAAAATAGAAAGAAATTAATTGGCCAATTAAAAATATATAGAAAAAATTAGCCGGGCATGGTGGCGCATGCCTGTGGTCCCAGCTACTCGGGAGGCTGAGGCGGGATTACTTGAGCCCAGGAATTTGAGGTTGCTGTAAGCTAGGCTGATGCTACGGCACTCTGCCCAGTGCAGAGTTGAAAACAAACAAACAAACAAAACCAGATTTTGACCCTTCGAGCCAGCGCAGAAAGGCGGCACCTAGAGTCTCCCTTCCCAGTACCTGCTGAAAGTCCCGGGTAGCCCTGCCTGAGTGCCTTGACCTTGGAAGGGGAAGCCCAAGTCAGATAGAGTTGCTGAGACTCCAGAGTGAGGGACAATCCTGTCACTTTCCTTTAAGGGGAATTTCCTGATTTGTGGCACTGAAAATTTTCTGCATACTTGGAGCAAAATTCAGCTGAAATCGAATTTGTGATCATTTAAACCATTTCCTGCCAAATAACATCTATTTCCCCTGGTTGCTACAAATCGACATGTGTAG